AGTGAGGCGGGGGGGGGCCTAGAATCCCCTAAATTACCCTACTTATATACATTATATGTATACATTATAGTTTACAATATAGTAGTTATATATACATTTTTTGTTTTTATACTATATTGTTAATTGTACAATAATAAAAAAATAAATTTGTATTTACATTAAATTTTCGTACTTCTCCCGTGAATGCGTTGTATTCCATTTGACAGTCGTGAATAATTACACAATACAATGATGTTTTATCGGGAAACTGTTTGGAGCATTCGAAATCCAAGCGTAGATCAACCGTTGAAGACTTGACGGTGTCGTTTTGTTTAAAACAATCAATCACGATTATAGGTCCACGTTTTTTATAATTTATATAGTCTAATAAAGGATAGGGGTCTTTACGACCGTAATACATTGTCTGGAATTGTGCGTACGAGTTATAAAACGTTGTGTAGTTGTTGTTGTCGAAATCGGCGTGTTGGTTCTCGTACGGGTACTCGTTTGCATTCAGATACGCATTGATGTTTCTCAATGAACAGTGATTGAAATCTCCGAGAACGTGTACGTCTTCATTACCCATGGCAATAAGTAAATATCTAGGTTTTTCCACATTCGAATAGGTGCGCACCGACCACGTGTGATGAGTTGTCTGTGGTACCAATAGGTAAACACGTCCCAGTGTTAAAATTCTAACGGGAGCCATTTCTTTCTGTTCAGAATACGCATCAAACCCATTGCGGTTTTCACGCTGGGTTCAAAGTACTTTACCACCCATTTGATTTTCGTTATTTTCACATTGATTTGTTTTATCAATGTTGCAACTTGCGCGTTATCGTCTGTTGTTGTTGTCTGTGGAACAAATGTTACAACAGTGCTATCGGTACTCGATCTATTAAACACGAGTGTCTGAGTACAGTTTATCAGTGTTCGTCGGTATCGTTCGAAAAATCCCATGCACATAGACAATGGACATTGCGCCACAAATTCATACCCATCGACAACAATGTCAACAGTTCCATTGGCAACAATGGATCATCAAAATCTAATTGTTTTTGCATACTGTACTTGTATTCTTCTCCATTGTACTTGTCGGTAATTCGTTTCTGTAAATCGTCAAATTCGTACGATCCCGTCGGTAGTGTTATCACCATAATTGGTTTGTCAACAGTGCCGAAAATGAATTTGTTACAATCCTCATCAATATTCGGTATCGTGTTCCACGTATGCAAGCTCAATAGTCCAATTTTACATTTGTCACCGACATCGATGGGTGGATTGAATGTGCATTGCAATTCAGATCCCACGCCGATTAACGTCACCGTTGTTGCCATGTTGTTGTTGTTGTTCAATTAAAAATTCCAAACACAAGTGACCACAATTTACCTCGTTGAAGTTTTGATATCTACTATAATTGTGCACGATTGCGCATCCTTTAAAGTATCGTTGCAGCTCCAACGGTGGTCGTAAATTACCAAAACTGTCAAAATACGTAATGCGTTTACCACGTTTACTATATGCTACCCAATGAGTGCCAGGGTTAGTGGAAAGGTCCAAGTTCACTACACCCATTTCGATTGTTTTCGGTCCCGACTGAGGTAACTTGTCACGACAGAACACGCCACGAAACACTTTACGATCGAACGCTCGACTACCGAAATTTGCAATTTCAACATCGTACAAGGCACGATCGGGTAGCTGTGAAATTAGTTTTTTGTTTTTTTCTTATGATTTTTTCGAGACGTCTTTTTCTTAGTTTTCGTACTCGCCGTCAATTTGAAACCAGACCCCGATTTGTATGGTTGCAGGTAAAATCCTTTACCTATGCTTATCGCTGTATTGCCTTTACGGTTAATTTCGGTAGCCATGATAGATGGCTACATGATGATAGATACAATATGGAACATGATGATGGGTTTTTCCATCAGTACATGCACCAATGGTCAATGAACCCGAATAGAGACAAAATGTATGGACCAAAAGTGACACCAGAAGGAACATTGACAATAGGTGGAGTCGACAATATCTTTGTCGATGGAGGAATAATCAACGTACTGGAGAAAAAATTCCTGCTGACATTAGGTCTTGTGGACTTACTTTTTTCGAAAAATCCCGGTGTTTACTCCGAATCGGATTTGCAGGCATACAAAACAATTTTACTCGAAACCGGTGTACATTTGAATAAAGACGGAACATTAAAAAAAGGAGGTCAAAAATATGTTAACACTATTAAACCATTGTTTGAAAACAATGATGGTGGTAACGCAAACAATTCCTTACCATTATTTGAAAACAGCAGCATCAGTGACACATCTATTATCGGTGCGGGTCTACAGTTAAGGTTGAACAACAAGAAAAAAGAGTATGTGTACTGGGACGAACCCAACGAGCTCGTAGATCGTTTACGTTTATTGATATCAGCCCGGTCAGCTGGTAACACTGGAGTTGCACCGGAAATCATTTCTATATTGGAAGAGTTGCAGGAAACCGGTTACATTGAACAAATACCATCAACATTATGAATAAGAACATTGCCTATGAACTACATCAGCAGGCCCGTAGGACGTACACCCGTGCTCGAATAAATATCAAAGGTCTCGATGATGTTTGGCATGCTGACCTCGTGGAAATGCGCGTATACCCCGATCGACATCATCGGTATATTTTAACGTGCATCGATGGATTTTCAAAATATGCGTGTGCCATTCCATTGAAAAATAAAACAGCCAAAGAAGTTACTGCTGCCATGAATGGAATATTAAAATAAGGTCGTCATCCTAAACTTTTGCAAACGGACAATGGTAACGAATTCTACAACAAACAGTTTCAAAAACTGATGTCACAATATGCAATCAATCACTATTCAACTTATTCCACTATGAAAGCCTGTCTCGTGGAACGTTTTAACCGCACGTTGAAAAACGCAATGTGGTGCGATTTTAGTGCACGTGGTTCGTACAAGTGGGTGAATCGGTTGCCTACGCTGTTGCACGAATACAATAACGTGCGTAAACATAGAACAATCGGAATGANTGTGCTTAAACATAGAACAATCGGAATGATACCGGTGCAAGCTGTGCAAAACCCCGACCTGGTTCGACTCAAGTTACGCAAAATACCCGATAATTTACCGATAAAATTCCACGTGGGTGACAAAGTTCGGATTAGTGTACATAAATCAGTGTTTGACAAGGGTTATTTGCCGAACTGGAGCACCGAACTATTTACCATAGTCAAGGTTAGACAATCAGTACCACCAACTTACTATCTAGAAGACTATCAGGGAAATCCAATACGTGGTGTGTTTTACACCGAAGAGCTGAACAAGACCAGTTATCCGGACATGTATTTAGTCGAACGAGTGTTGCGAACACAAGGAGATCAGTGTTACGTTAAATGGTTAGGATTTGGCCCAGAACACAATTCATGGATACCGAAAACCAATATCTTACCTCAATGATTGTCGATATACAAGGTATTGTAGCAGCTGACCGATCGTTTTTGGTCAAGGAACTGACTGCTATTGCCATAGACTGCACTTCTTTCGCCCATTGGATGTTCAAACATCCAAAAAGTATCAAGGAGGATGCTAAAACAAACTTTTGGTTGAAAAAATACCTACATGGAATGGATACACGTTGCGGGGATGTGGAATACAATGAGTTGCCGAGAATAATGAAACTCTTGCGATGCGAAACCATTTACGTGAAGGGAGCTGTAAAAAAGCAAGTAGTGGAAAAGTACATACCAGGACAACGTATAGTCAACGTAGAGGATTTGGACTGTCCTCCTCTGTACAATTTAAGTTGTATTACAAAACCATGTTGTATCCGACACATGAACAACCCAAATATGTGCAGTTTATATAAGACTATATGTTTAAAACAATGGATGAATTATAATATGTAACATTATTGTGAAAAATTATTTTGCAATATACTCATTTGTATTCGTACAATCAATATATTTTCCATAAATAAAATGTATATTGAAAGGTTACAAATATATAAAAATCAAATTAATTGGCCGCAACGAAAAATTTGTAACTTTCATGGCGTTTTACAAAATTATAAGAAGAGGGTCGCCAACCTACTGGGCGAGACAGTGTATTGTCGGACCACAGTAGGATTTTAAAAAAATTAACTATTGTATATTAAAACAATTAGAAACAAATATATAATTAATAAATATTAAAGTTGATGTCCGTTGAGTCGTTGATAGTAGATGTACACCAAAACCTCGTGACAGTTGTCACATAACCATATAGATCAGGGATGACCTTATACAAGGCCGTTGCCCGTACCTTATAAACTAGGGGAATTGATTTTTGAAAGGAAAAAAAATACACGAGTCCATTGAAGATGGAACACGCAAAAAAGAAGAAACAGATGATGGTTAAGTTAAATTAAGGGGACTTTATTAAAAAAAAACAAAAAAAAATTAAGTTATCACGAGGCAAAAAACCGAATGGTCAAAAAACCTCGTCTACAAATTAAAGGGGAACAAAGAGAGAGAAAAAAAAAAATAGATATTAATAAAAAAAATAGTTACACCTACACTTTTATTATTTGAGAATACGATGAACGTCTTCGGGTACCCGCCGGCTATTAATCGCAGCATTGCCGCTAAGCACGGCGGGTATACGTCCCAAGTAAGCGACTGGTTTCTGGCAGTTAGGCTTAGCTTGCAAGACGTTGGGACACCCCGGAATAAAATGCACTACGTCACCACATTGTACCAATAATATATACATCACCCAATAAAATATGATATAAAACCTATAAAAAGTCACAAAAAAAATATATATAACATGACAGGTGGTCTTGTACACGCCTGTCATGTTGCGGGACCTAAATAAAAAAAAATATAAGGACACCAAAAAAAAAACTATATAAAAAAATATAAAAAAATTCGCCACACGTGCTTATGGCACGGCGCACTAAAAAATAACTGGCTCAAAACATTATATACAAAAATTATACATTACCAGCCCCGAAGGGCTAACGAATATGGAGGCAGGTTTAGCCGACGCCAATATAAATAATAATTACATTATAAAAAAATAACGGACACTCACGAAAATATATATATAAAAAAATGAAAAAGTTGCAGCGCACACAACAACAAAAATTACGATCGCTACGGACGGGAAATAGTACGACCATTTCCGACTATGGCTATTCCCCGACAATCCGTCCGACGATTGACCCGGCGGTCCGTTGGCGACCAAACGGCTAGCCTTTAGAGTAGGGGTCAAAAAATAACTAAATACCCAGTGCCGGAAATTATTAAAAACAATTTAAATCATATGGCGACAATGTATGCGGTGAGCAGTGCAAATGACGTTCAAGATAGGAAAGGAGCGGGGTGAATGTACACACAAATGCCGTTCATGAACCGGTCCGAAGTAGTACACAGCTGACTATCTCGCGCGCGCATAAACAAATCACAACACCTTATCATGATAATTTTATCAACAAATGCCGTCGCAGTCCGCATTCGGCTCAACACAAATATATATATACAAATAGACAAAAAAAAACAACCAGATACTTTTGTCACGTTACAATATTAATGTTTATAGTAAAATAAATAAATATTTCTAAAATACGTGTAGTACTTACTATAATTTATTAATACCTATTGTAAAACAATCTGGTATTATCAAAATAAATAGTGGTTAATTATTTTAATTAATTAAGCATTTATTATAATATCAATTTGAGATTAAATTTATTTACAATTCAATTCATTAAAATATTACATTAAAAAATCTTAAAACAATATTGAAAGGTTACAAATATATAAAAAAATCAAACTAGTTGCCCGCAACGAAAAATTTGTAACTTTCATGGCGTTTTACAAAATTCTCAGAAAAGGGTCGCCAACCTACGGGGCGAGACAGTGTATTGTCGGACCACAGTAGGATTTTTAAAAAAATTAATTTTTGTATATTAAAACAATTAGAAAAAATATAAAATTAATAAATATCAAAGTTGATGTCCGTTGAGTCGTTGATAGTAGATGTACACCAAAACCTCGTGACAGTTGTCACATAACCATATAGATCAGGGATGACCTTATACAAGGCCGTTGCCCATACCTTATAAACTAGGGGAATTGATTTTTGAAAGGAGAAAAAAAAACACGAGTCCATGGAAGATGGAACACGTAAAAAAAAGAAAAATATGATGGTTAAGTTAAATTAAGGGGACTTTATTAAATAAAAAAAAAAAACAAAAAAAAATTAAGTTACTACGAGGCAAAAAACCGAATGGTCAAAAAACCTCGTCTACAAATTAAAGGGGACAAGGAAAGAAAAAAAAAAGATATTAATAAAAAAAATAGTTACTCCTACACTTTTATTATTAGAGAATACGATGAACGTCTTCGGGTACCCGCCGGCTATTAATCGCAGCATTGCCGCTAAGCACGGCGTGTATACGTCCCAAGTAAGCGACTGGTTTCTGGCAGTTAGGCTTAGCTTGCAAGACGTTGGGACACCCCGGAATAAAATGCACTACGTCACCACATTGTACCAATAATATATACATATCACCCATAAAATATAATATAAAACCTATATAAAAAAAAATCACAAAAAATATAGATATAACATGACAGGTGGTCTTGTACATGCCTGTCATGTTGCGGGACCTAAATAAAAAATATATAGGAGCACCTACACAAAAAAAACTATATTAAAAAATATAAAAAAAATTCGCCACACGTGCTTATGGCACGGCGCACTAAAAAAAACTGGCTCAAATCATTAAAACAAAAATATACATTACCAGCCCCGAAGGGCTAAAGAAACTGGAGGTAGGTTCAGCCGACGCCAATAAAAAAAACTACATAATAAACGAATAGCGGACACTCACGTAAAAAAAAATGTATATATATAAAAAAAACAGTTGTAGCGCACACAACAAAAATTACGACCGCTACGGACGAAAATTAGCGACGACCAGTTCCGATGATGGCTAATTTCCGACAACCCGTCCGACGTTTGACCCGGCGGTCCGTTGGCGACAACGCGGCTAGCCTTTGGAGTAGGGGTCAAAAAAAACTTAATACCCAGTGCCGGAAATTACTAAGACAAGTTAAATCATAAGGCGACGATGTATGCGGTGAACAATGCAAATGACGTTCAAGATAGGAAAGGAGCGGGGTGAATGTACACACAAATGCCGTCCATTAACCGGTCTGAAGTAGTACACAGCTGACTATCTCGCACGCGCATAAACAAATCACAATNCACAGCTGACTATCTCGCATGCGCATAAACAAATCACAATACCTTATCATGATAATTTTACTGACAAACGCCGTCGCAGTCCGCATTCGGCTCAACACAAATATATATATATATNCGCAGTCCGCATTCGGCTCAAAACAAATGTATATATATATACAAATAGACAAAAAAATAACTAGATACTTTTGTCACGTTACAATATTTACAACAATATATATATACAACACTTATATTTACAAAAAACCTTATGATAAAATTCAATTACACAGTTTAGCATACAATATATTTTACATTTATCGATATGGATATTTAAAGAGTTTTACAATTTTATTATTATTCTAAAAACTAATGTTGATTAAATTTCTTCCGATGGAATGGCATAATGACCGTAAGCCAGCGTGTCAACTCTGTTGTCGAGCATGTAGCGCTTATCGTCGAAACGGTTAAGCGCCAACTTGGTTGTACGTAAAGTGAGTACCTCATGCTCGAAAGAACGAATTGACACGTTCTGTCGGTATGGAGTGTACGGTAATGATAATGTCGCTGGAATCTCACCATCACGTACGGCTCCGATGACTACACGGGCATTGTCCCCGGCCAACGCTCGTTTTGACGCATCGTCACCATCGTCTTCAAACAAACATCGTTTGTAATCATCCAAAGACAGATGGTTCCGGACGACATGTGCGCGGATCCCCTTAGACTTGATAAATTCGCTGCCTTCCATGTCAAATGCATAGCACTTTGAACGAAGCGAACAGACCCGGCGTCTTCTTCCTCGAGGTTGAGTAACAAGGGTGATCCTTGGGCAGGCTAGATGCATCCACGTACACCAGTAAATCGTGGCTGTCGGCTAAATCCTGATAGAAGTCGCTGACTCTGAGCATGTATATGAAGGAGTCTGAGAAAAATTAAAAATATATAAATATTATAAAAAAATATTTCTACTGTACTGTTGTACTCACTTGTATCCATGTAAACCAATTCGATTGCACTGCCATAATGTGATTTCAATACGTCGTAGAAGTAGTTGTACATTAGCGTCTTGCTAATGTCAAGCACTGCTAAACCGACGTATATAGGTTTGATAAACTTGACAATCTTTGTGTCCATTATGACGGCGCACAACCTTGTTTCATCTCCCCCCACCACTATCATAAGACTTGGTGGAGGAGCATAGGTTCTTCTTAGGTTAGTTTACG